GTGTCTGGCAGCGGAAGGGAGTCGGTGAGAGCCCGAGGCTGGCGGCGGGTGAGTCAGCAGCTGGCGGTGGGGAAAAGTTGGCAGAGGGTTGTCTGCTATAGGCAGTTGGCGACGGTTGGCGTGCAGCGGGCAAAGGGTGACTAGCGGCGGTGGCAAGCAGCGAGCGAGGGTGTGGGGCAGCGGCTTGGCTATAGTACTTTACATGAATGGTGTAATTCAAATCCGGTTGAATTCTAAAATCAGTCAAAATGAACTAAGGTGTAAACTTTAAATTCATTCATATTTTAAATTGTATTTGTCATTCTCCATACCAAACACAATTTTCTAAAATCCCTACAAAAAAAATATAGATTTACTCAACCAATCGGGCCATAAAAGATTATTCTAATATTAGGCTGGTTGTAAAAGTAAAATTCTGAGACCAGGTTATTCGTGAGCCCATTGAATTTGAATGTGTGACTGTTATGAGTAAGAAAGTTGAAGAAGAATTTCCACAGTTTAATTTGCATGTAAGTTATCCTAGCCACCTATCTAACATTTAGGTTAAATTTAATAACTAGATTTTCATATTAAAGTTTTTAATAGGTTCTTGATCGAACCAAAAAAAAAAAATTAACTAGATCTTGCTTCGAGACCCCATGTGAATTGTACCGATGGCTAATTTTCTTATTTGAATGGCTAAAAAGTTTGCACAGGCTCTTGATCCGAGAATAAAAATAAGTTTGATGTTGTATTAGAGGAAACATAAATTCATATGATGAGACAGAATATTATGAAAAATTTAAGAAACTATGCCGTCGCAATAGATTTGATCTAGTTACTAAATGCAAAATAAAAACACAATTCATAGGATATCATTAATGTTAAAATAATTAAAGATATACTAAATATAATCCAATCCAACATGAACATACCAAACAGGTTGAGATTATCTATACCCGGGAAAAATTCGATTCTAGGGAGATTTGTGTTCCTTTTGTCCCCTCAATTGGCAAACTATCAGATATTCTCACAAAAAATCTTATTCGGCCTATCTTTAATGATTTCAAGTTCAGGTTTAACATGATTGACATCTATGCTTCAACTTAAGGGAGAGTGTTAGAAGTTATTAGTATTGATTTACTTTCTTTCAGGTTAATTTCTCTTTATTAAAAGTTATTAGTATTAATTTATTTCCTTTCAGGTTATTTCCTATTTTATGTATTTCCTACATTATCTTTCCTTTTATCTCTGGGTGGTTATATGAGCGTTATGTCTGTTCTATGTTGTAATTCATGTAATTTGTATTTATACCCCCTTTTTCATATCAATGAAAGTATCCTGCTCAATTACCAAAACCCACAATAAGGAATACAAAATGCATTTCATATCACTTTACACAATGTATTTCATATCACTTTATCACAAAGTAGATAGCTTATGAGACAAGCAAGGTCATGTCAAATCCGAATGAAGGTCAACTTAATTTTACATATGTGAAATAACCATAAAAGATATTAGGATATGAAATAAAACAGCTTGACTAAAAGACAATCCTTTCAGTAGATATTTAAAGAAGCATATAACGTAACAAGAAGCTATATAAGAAAAGGAGGTGGAGGAGATGAGAGAACTCTATACAAGACTCTTTAATTGAGGTAAGACTTTCACTGATACATTCTAAATTTTGATCTGACGTCACCTGTTCTTTAAGTGTTTTTAATTTAACTAATATAAGCACTGTTGAGTTGTTCAACAAAAAAAAATATCTGCCGGTCCAAAATAAATGGATAATACTGAATTGTACATAGAACTAACACGTCAATTGCATGCTTGTTTATGTTGAACAATACAGGACAAAAGTAAAGATTAATAACAAATTAAAAGATAAAAGTGAACTGCAAGTAGGTGTTTTATTTAGCAATGCAACATTACATGAAAAAGGGAAGTGAAGAATTTCAGTACCGCTTCATTAGAGTTCAGAAACAATTTGTCAATAGGTAGAGAGCCCCCTCTACTCAGTTGCTTCCTGTGCAATGATCTAACTCCACAACAAGAATTTAGCATCAGACTGTTCTGATTATTATTGCTGTTCTTGTCATTCAAGATGCTAGGATGCCAGGTATATATGACATATTTCCTTAACTGGATAAAGCAATAGTTAATATCAGGAACCACAAACATGCTCTGGATTAATACTTTTCATAACAGTCAACTACCTTCTCCCAGTTACACTGGGCACGTCTTTGACTCTTAATTTTTCTCAGGAGATTATCCTCATTACGCAATTTCTTGATCCTGGCTTCACACTTCAAGTGAATAATAGTCAAAACTTATTTCCGCAAGAACAAAAAATACATATGACTAGTAAGTACTGCAGAAGATCCTAACAAACCAGTAAACTGTTAGATACAAAGATAACCAAAACTTTATTTTAACTCATTCAATGAATTTTGTAGATGCAGTGCCAAATGAATGTAAGTTCAGAAAGTAAAAACATATTCAGTCAATTAAAAACATTTTTCAGCGACAGTCATTGTTTCAATTTGGTATGATCAAAACATGCAAAACTACCTACAAGATTACAATTTATAACAGAAGTTTCCTGGTAAATTCAAGAAAATGACATATAACATGACTTTCAGGACTTCTGTCTCACTTCAATTTTTTCAGCCAATAATAACGCAAATGACGACAACTAACAAAAAATCTTAGAAATAATCTGTAAACAGTCGAGAAATAGAAACTTACCTGCACTAGGAGGTAGAGAAAAATTGCAATGCTAACTGAATAAATGCCACCAACGTTGGCAAGAAAACCAACTGCAGTCATGTTAGAAAAATAGCTAATCAAAGCAAAAAGGAATGATTTCAAACCATAATAAAGAAAATAGGACTCGAAATCAAGCACTTAACATGACATATAAAATTCATGCATAAGTTTATTCATGATAACTGAGGTAGTACCAAGTTACCTGAAATAGAATCACCACAATACATAAGAAATTAAGAATAGTCCCCAATTAATAGTTTCCACTTTTATGTTAATGACCTCAGTGGAAGGTATTTAAACTCCGTGCTGACTTTCTGCCAGTAAATCAAGCAAATCGTACAGAAGAAGTACAGGTAAAGCATTATAAACATCTTTGTTGCAAAGCAGTCATAATACCATGGTTGTACATTGGAATTGTGAAATTAAAATCTCTTCATTGACTTCAAAATACAAAAAATAGATAAATTATAATATCACCGCTCATTATCACTTCTAAGTCAAAAAAACCAACTTCGATCTGGCAACTGTTTATAGAAGCACTTCAACTTTCATTTAGAATGATCAGGTAACTTCTCAAATAAACCCGAGATTTTTTTTTTTCACCTCTCCCTTCAGCCTTTTTGGAAAGTACGAGAAATCTTTATGCTCTCTGCTAGGTAGATCAATCCAAAAATTTCTAATGTTTTAGTGGGATAAAAAAAAGAAAGAAAAAAAAACTGTACTGGATTGCACAGAAACTAAGTTATGGCAACAAAATATGAATTCTATTGCTCGGATCAGCCTATTCCATCTTTGCTGGGGAAAATGATCCTTTGATGACCATTTTAGTCCTAGACTACATGAGAAGCTCAATTTGATCCCTTATCTCCTTAAAAGTGATCCAGTTTAATATCACTAATAAAAACGTTGTTTATTTGGATGAGAAACTAAAAAAATTGTATAATGACAGTATTTGTCATTCTGAGAGCAACGAAAGCGAAAAATATGCAAAAGTGCTCATTCATGGATGGTGTTACGTCCAATCTCAAGTGGAGACCAAAAAGCATATCAACAAAGGACATTGAGGACAATGACGGAGAAGAAAAATGTCTTTCCTGTTGCCATCGGATGCTGAGATCGACAATGAAGACAAAATGCATTTGACCTGAAAGGTAACTCATAAATCTATTGTGAAGGTAATGTGTTCATTTTTTTTACATGAGCAAGGTTGGGTTCTGTATGATTGGGTAATACAAAGTATAAAAAGAGGTTAATGATGACAGCAAGAGATATATGAAAAAACAATGCAAGAGAGCATCTAGAAGGGAGAATAGGTGGAAAAATTTTTCAGTCCATCTTTAGCATGTCTCTTGAGCCAATAGATTTATTGACAGTTTTTTTTTTTTTTTATTTTGGGATTTTCATAAGAATAATGCTCTAGATCTTGGAAGGCTTTCATTTTTTTCAAAGATGCATTTCACACAAAATATTTTGAACATATTACCTAAATGAGATGATTCAAAAATCAAGCAATAGATGTGGGAATGCTAATGATAAATTGTACATATAGTTTTTGAATGACTTGAAATTTTAAATTTCACACAACTTCTCAGTGGTTTCACTACGACAGTTGAAATGTAAGCTAAAACAGTAACGAAAAGGAATTAAAGATAAATGAGAGTAGTGGTGATGACCATGATGGAGAAAACTATGTATGATAAGTCAAATAATTAGTAGAAAATTCATGATAGTGATTATGAGATTAGAGAGGATGGTGACTTGTTTCAAGACAAAATAGATCCTTCTATCGAAATTACAACCATTTAGAATAAATGCAATAGAAGTTTGGTTTATCCAATGAAAATAGTTTTGAAAAAATGCGGTGAAAACACAGTGATTTTGATTCTTTGGACTCTATTGAAGGTGGAAGAGTTCAGAATATTAATTAAGGCAATAGCATAAAGTAGCCGGTCTTCAACCATAAGATGGAATCAGAGAATCCAAAGCTTAAAGTAGTTATGCACTGTCGGTCAACTTTTTAATAGATTTATTTGAAAAATATGGTATATGAAAATAATTTTTGAAATTTAATTTAAGTATAAAAAATATATATAGTTTGAGTTTTAAAAGTAGTATGTTTTAATTTTTGAAAAATGAGACCAAATGGATCTCATTAGTCCAATAGTTTGCATAATCGTGTCCGATACCGCGAATACTACACCCTCCCGAAAGATAAGTGTAGACCTCGGCGATAGACCCAATCCTGCAAACTAAGAGATTTGTGACATCTGTTTGGTCTGCGAATCTTTTTATGTATGACCGACAAGTTCCCTTATCTAATACAAAGATTAAATAGGGTTTATTTTACATGGGTTCTAAGTTCCCTATAAAGGCAAGCCCCTATAGTTAATTACATCCCAAGTTAATTACATCCCAAGTAACGGGAATCACTTGAGAAAACTCTCGATAATGATAAGTGATTCTCGTATTCAAGAATTTAAAGTTTAGGTTTTCAAGGTAGGACGTGGAAAAAGCAAGTGAGAGTGGTTCAAATAGGAACAGTTATTTCACGAGTCCAAAGGAAGGAACAGGTAGGGGATGTCATAGATCCTGAGGAGAAACCTCAGTGACCTCCCAAACTATCCTACTGTGTGGCTGTGTTTTAGAGAAGATTTTATTTGAATGTTAAATCCTGTCAATTTTATTAGTTGGGACTTACGAATGCATAATACTCGATTATGCAAATAGCCCAAAGAAATAAGAGGGTTTACGTCGTGTCACACGACAACCTCAGAACCTAAGGCGGGTTAGGACTTACGCTGCACAACATGGTTGTACAGGAGCCTAAAAAGGGAGTGTGAGGATTTACATCGCGCTAGGCGAGCTACCTCGAAGTCCTATGGATTGTTATTATGCTAAGGAAGAGA